GTGGGAATGGGCATCTTGTCAGGTGATATAAGGAAATATGTATCAAATGTACATAAAAAAAATTGAATGCTTTATGTTTTCTAAACAGTTTATTATCTATTATACGGAAAAAACATATCAAATGTAAATATTGTAAATCTGTTCTTGTCCTTTTATGATCATTAAATCTTTTTTTATAAAAGGAAGAAAAATCAAAATGTTGATGTTGATGTAAAGTAAACAAAAAGGCAATAGTAAAAGAAAACAAGGAATGTACTGGTAATAATCTATGTTGTAGAAAACGATAAATTTGTTATCAGGTAAAATAGTTTAAAAGTATTTAAGATCAAGATATGAAATATTGGTGACTTATAACTCATTATTGCTTATCACTGATTTGTATGTCAATTTTGTATACAAAGAAGTGAAAATATTGACAAACATTTAAAATCGGGTTGGAAAAATCTAAACTTATGAGCCTTATTTCCATTTGATAATCAAAAATTAAAAGGCTTTATTATTCTATCTATAAAAGTTGAAGTATCAATGTGGCGTTTATTATTTCGCGCCGATAAAAAGTTGGCGAACTTATAGCACTTTGCCGCATATATGTTTTCATTGCAGTACCCAGATTCTGACAAATGAAAGTGAATGCTTATATAAATTGATAAACATTTAGAAGATGTTGAATTATGGCAATAGGAATTTCTATCAGCCCCATCGAAAGAGCTTTTGTTATTCGTTTGGGGTTGATATTTCTACCAGGTTGATCTTGATTTGAACATATTTTATCATGTAAAAACATAATTGGAGTAGTCAACAGGCATTGCCCACATAAGTGTTCTCCGTATACGGTGTTCGTATTGACATGTAAATTATTCAGACGAGAATTACAGTTATATTATGGATTATATGTACTTAGATCATTTATCAAAGTTCTGAATCCTGAAGCTTTTACATCAATATGAATGGCTGTATACAAATTGCTGACAAATGTCTTCTTTATCATTGGGAACCACACATTCTACAAAATGAAATTGCTTGATTTACCGCAAATAAAAGAAATATGACTAGATTAAGTTATTGTTCTTTGTGCTTTGATTCAAAGAGCCATATTGCAGAATTCTTTTACCTTAGAAATTACAATTATGGAATGAAGTACAATACCTTAGATTAAATGAAATAAATAATATGCAAGTTAATCAGTCTTCGTCAATTAGATTTTTTAACTCGTTTTTGGACAACGTTTGATGATCAGAGTCCCCGAGCAGATAAAAATAATGTTTTATTACAAAGTATTTTAGAGAATTCATTTCTCACACTTGCTATACAATGACTAATAATTTTTTAACTTATTTACTTTTCGAAGTTATACTTTTTTTTTTAAATAAAACCTTCTCTAAATCTTAGTTTAGTTTAATCCTAGCTAGCTCTCAGTGCTCTTAACAAAGAGCTTCGTTTTCAATCAGCGGTTTTACTTAAATGTCTCATTCCGGAATAAAAAATGTACACAGTATGATTCTTTTGTAAATGGTCCTTCCGCAGTACTTTGATACACGGATAATATTTTGTGTTGTTGATTATTGTAATCTGTGATCTGTTTTCTTTAAATGTTGTTAAAAATATGTAAAAGAATGTAAAAATATGAAAAAAACGTGTGTTCATTTGCATGATTGTACAACGCACATATATCTACTCCACTTTTTCATGGTAAGATATTATTATGATATCTGCATGCATATTGGATACATTTATTGATCAAGAATGCACTATAGGTAATGCATGCTTTAATGATTCTACAAAACTTGTCACAGTGAATGCTTTGGTGAAAAGAATTAAAGTTTTTTTGAAAAGTATATTCTTAATTTTCCAAGGGGAGATAATCTAGAAAAAGCACAATACAATGGTTTCATTTAATGAAAATCTCCATGTCAAGAACAACTGGGCCAGAAAAATTAAACTCACGTGAAAGCTCTTGATACAAACTTCTTCAATCCATTGCTCTTAGGGCAAGGATGGGACCATAAAAAAGGATCAAATGCTTACATGAAGTATATAGTAGAAAATCGTCCTTAAATTCATTTCAAGAACAACAGGACCATGGTTGATTTGTCTTAGTTATATATGCAAGAAGCCAGCTTGGAGAGAGGATATTCAGGTTTATTCAAATGATGGCCTTGGGATAGAGTTGGATCACCATGCATATTAATCAAAATTTTCACGGCGATTTATTTTATAAGACAAACATCGTTTAAAAATCTGGAACTACATTTGTAGGAATTTAAGTTCTACAGGAAAACATCTTTAAAAAATCTTTTCAAGCTCACAAGGGAGTCACGACATAAATCATATTATAAGTAAACATACCCAGTCAGTGCAGAATCTATCTTATTGATTCAAACTGTGGTACCTTGGAGTAGGTGGTGCTTCATCAATCGATCAAATATTTATATTGGAAAAAGCAGTGAAAAAAAACTGAGAAATTCCTTTTCCTAAAAACAGCAGTGCAACCTCGAATACCTGGGATATGTCGAAGTGATTTGACAGTCCAAACCACTTTTTCTTTGTATGTTTTTAACCCTCGTTATCTCGAACATTTGGATTTCTCGAAGTTTTATCTCGGTCCCTTCGAGTCGAGATGACGAGGTTTGAAATCCACGAACATTGATCCCTCACGAATAGTTGAAGTCGCTGAAATAGCACATTAAGCGATTGAGCGGTGTAAAGACGAATAATGACCCCCATTAAATAATGACAGGAGGTCATTTTTCAACGACAAAAAATGACCCCCAGCCCGTGAAGAAAAAAATAATTTTTGTAGAAAAAGAGCCCTAGGGGTCATTTTTTGTTATATGTGTGCGTCCTATAAAAAATTAACCCCCGTTGAAAAATGACCCCCTTTCCAACAGAGTGATACATACTTTATAATAGGTGATTAATGCCAAGGTTTGATCCTCAATGTTTAATTCTTCTTTATGCCCTCTTTGACCAACCCTGGACGAACGCGCAATTAAAATGCAATAAAACAGCATTACATTTACATGCATATTTTCTATATTTTTTAAGCCTATTGTGTTCACAACACATATTGAAAATCGCAAAATGGCTACTATTGGTTATAACTCTTAACGTAATCTCCCTTTATGACTGTCTTCCATTTGTTTCATATTAGACTTTTGCGAGAAACACTGACTTTTACAGTCGACGGCTTACTTTGACATTTAAACCTGCCTTATGTACGGAGGTACAGAATTGCTGATAGATAAGGAAACTTTAATAGTTGTTATAGGTATTTTGTTTGGGGCACTTACATGATTAACTTGTATGCAATCAACGCAAGAGATGATGGGAGGCAGAAGTACATAGCTTAAATTATTTATTCGTGAGGGTTAGTATCCTGAAGGGATCAAATAAGGAAGAAAAAACATTTCGAAAGGAAAATTAAGCAAGAGTTGGTCATTATGGGAAGGGAGGGGGTTGAGGGTAGGGTGGCTGCCGTTCCTTCCTAGTCAACGTGATGTGTGCTTTGAAATGGTCCATTATTATCGTTTAATTAACTGTTAAGCTTAATATTTATATCGCAAAAGAGCTTCCATATACTGTCCTAGTGTAAAAGTAAGCCGTCGATTGTAAAAGTCAGCGCTTCTCACAAAAGTCCATTTGGATATTTGAAACATTTCAATACCGTGTATATTGAAGTAGATTAATGTTTTCAATTTTTTTTAATGGCAAACCATTTTATTGACCTTCCAGGTTAACATAAGGACTTGCTTTTCCTACATTAAACATAAAATTCTGAAAAGTTATTTCAGCTGCATCCGAATTCCACTCAAGTGAACATGATATTTTTGCACAAAGAATCAGAGAGCGGGAGGGATTGTCTCCCCTTTTCTGAATGTAAATTTTAGCAATTTCTAGTTTGAAAATATTCATTGGAAGTCTTGTAATAACCCCCTCTTTTTTTATAAGTATAGTTAAAAAAAATATCTCCTACTTGAGTGGACAAGGTGAACATATCATTCAGGCTCATAGATTCAGGAGTGGTTGGGGTGTCCTCCCCCTTCCATTTTCATGAACGTATTTTATTTTATTTTTTCGCATGAAAATGTTCATGCAAGTCTGGTTGCCCTTCTCCTAACTTTTTGATACAGTAGAGTAAAAAAGGAAATCCCCCTTACATCAATAAACTTTTTGAGGGGTTCATCAAAGTTATTTCTAAGGTAACTTGTAAATTTTGCCTCTTATAATGCCCCATTTCGATGCTACGCCTGACATTTATTTTTTCTACATTGCACCAAAAATAGATTTCAAATGCAAAATTAATACTGTTCATGCTTATGTTAATAACTCCGGTTGTCTACGGATTTTCCCCTTTTCCCCGATCATGACAAGGAACACACGGCTGGGGATGCTCCCTCCTTCATGGCACCTGATACCTCTGATTTTTTTTTAGGTCTGTGTTTGCTCTGCTTCCAATTGGAATTGTTTAAATGGACTTTTAGCTTGAATACTGTTCGTTACCTCCATATTTCATTGTTAATTGAAGTCACTTGTTTTTTGCAAACATTACATTACGATTTTTTCGTGTACTGTGAACATTCGATTTCCGTGTACTTTATACCAGGAAGATGACAAGTCGAAATACACAATTCTGACTATGTACGAACACAACCAGCATTTTTCTATATATTTTCCGCATTTCTTAAAGGTGTGTTGTTTACTTTACTTTTTATAAAATAATAGGATCGACCGATTTCAGAAAACTTCCTCATAACATTTCTATACATGTAAACATACAAATAAGACACGAGTTTCCCTTCTTACTTCCAGTTCGATCCAATTCATCGAGAAACATTGGACCCATAACCCATAGGAAATAACTAATAATTACCGGAATTAACGTTTGAATTAAAACTGTTTTATTCATCGCTGGTCTTTATAATGTATGATTGCTCATACTGATAACCACTCAAAAATAGATCAATTTGATCATTCTTTCCTTAATTTTTTTAGTACATCCCCCTTCGATTGTAACATTCCTGACTTCTGAATTCCCTTTCTTACAAAACGTTGTTCGACCCAACACCAGGAGTAATGAATATTTCTGCCGTTAATTTGACATCGCCGGATTTTTCGGACCTGGGGCTATTTGACCGTTATCAGTTTGTTACAGAATCTCCTGGAGTGGCGATTTCACTTATCGTTATCCTCCTTTTAGCAGGATTGGTAGGAACCTGTGGCAATATCCTCATCTTGTTGGCACTATGTGTGACGAAAAAAATGAAGTCCCTGGAATCAATCTTTATTGCAAATTTGGCAATATCGGACATGTATGTTACACTTGTTGCAGACACCATGAGCGTAGTAGGTAGGTGAAATATAAAGTATTCGATCTGAAAATATAGATTAATTTGGAAAGTGGAAACCTTTTTGACATCAAAATATTAAATTTTGTTGACAATCATTCAAATATTATGCACAAGCATCCATTGATGGGCTAGAATTTATAATTTTAAAAAAACCCATATGTTTATTACAGCAAAATTAGAGGGTGAAAATTTCTTCAATCTCTACCCTGGACTTTGTCAATTCATTGCCTACGGTTGTACAATGTCGTGCGTAAATTCACTGGGTACCATCGCACTGATGAGCTTTAACCGATATGTCTTACTCTGTCATCATCAGCACTACGACAAGATTTTTAAAAAGCATACATGCATAATGATGTGTGTATCTTTGTATTGCGTGGGCCTGCTGCTAGTGCTCTTGAATTTGGCGGGAATCGGCGATCATTCCTTTGATAGAAAAAGTCTAGAATGTATCTGGGATCGGATGGCCACTTATTACTATACAGTGGTATTCTCGGTTACCCTCGTTTGGATTCCAGTTGTCGTTACAGGGTTTTCCTACTTGAATATTTACCTCAGAGTAACCAGGAGCGCCAAACGAATGAAGAAACATCAGGACAAACCGGCAAAATCTTCCGTGAATCTTGCTCGAACTCTGTTTATTATTTATGTGGTGTTTGCTACGTGCTGGATTCCCTACGCCCTCATAATTGTAGTGGACAGGAATGATACTTTTCCACATGAGGCCCATCTCTATGTCACTGTATTCGCCCACCTTCACCCTTCAATTAATTGGCTCGTTTACTACTTCACAAATACAAAATTTCACCGTGCATTTGACAAAATTGCTGGATTGCACCGTGTTTTTGGAATATGCAGACGGTCGTCATTGGAGACACCGGACTCTTCTGGAGTACTGAGTACATCAGACTCTCAAGCAGCCAAACACAAGATCACAAGTCTGGCCACTCTGTCTGGTGATGAGCTTTCATCTAAAGACATCCCCGAAAGCATGGACTCTCCCATTTGAAGACGGCAATTGTGAACATACACTAGAATCGAAGAAAGGTTAACTTTGTTTTGTTAGAACCGAATATTTTAAATGGGAAAAACAGAGGTATAACTAAATAAGAGAAAGGATAATATTATTGTTTTGGAGAGGATAAGAACCGGGATTACTTAACTATGCAATAACATAATTCTTAGCTCACCTGAGCTGAAAGCTCAATTGAGTTTTTCTTATCCAGCGTCCGTCCGTCCGTCTGTGTGTCTGCCTGTCTGTCCGTCCTCCGTCCGTCTGTAAAACTTTTCACATTTTTAACTTCAGAACTGCTGGACCAATTTCAACCAAGTTAGCACAAAACATCCTTAGGTAAAGGAGATTCTCAATTGTTCAAATGAAGGGTCGAGCCCTATTCCAGGGGGAGATCAGCAGGAAAAGGCAAAAAAGTAGGGTCATTAAATTTTTTTCTCAACAACCATTGGGTAAGAAATAGTGAAAGTTTATTGAGGAAGTGTAGATTCTAAATTGTTCAAGTCATGACCCCGGGGTCATTTAAGAAAAATCTTTTAAAATCTTCTCAAGGACTAGAAATGATGAACTTATGTGAAGGCTTCCTTAGGTAGTATAGATTCTAAACTGTTCAATTCAAGGTCCCCGGGGCTTCCTGGGGGTAGTTAGATTCTACGCTGTCCAACTAATGACCCCCGGGGGTAGCGTGGGGCCAAGATAGGGGATCAAAGTTTTGCATGGGACTATGTAAGGTTTTTTTTTTTAAATTTTCTAAAGAAACCATTAATTTGCAAACATTTCTATGTTAACTGAACTTATTGTTTTAATTATGGACCTTGGGTCAAAGTTGGCTAAAATCAAGTTCGAATTTTACATAATGCATGTATACAGAAAAAGAATTATCTTCTCCAGAACTGAAAGGCCATTTTAGTCGTATTGGTTTTGAAGCATTACCACGGTGTGTAAATTCAGACACCCCTTAGAGTTAGGGTGTGCCCATAATATGGGGTCACAAATTTTCAAGGGAATACAAAAATTTGTAAAATATCTCCTGAAGATTAGCAGGTGACTAAGATGCTGTGGTCCATGGACCTCGTTTCTTTTAGCTCTGAACTGTGATCAAGCATCGACAGTTCTCTGATTAATATTTCGATAGCTTTCTGAGAATGTTAGTTCTGCAACTTAACGTTTTAGTCATGATCTATAAATATTATGAGTCCCAGGTAATAATGTTTCATATATTAATCGTTGTTCTTTTCTTCACTTAAAAAATTTTTGGATGGAAGCACTCTACCTGAATTTTCTCGGTTAATATCTATTCGCAAAGACGAGAAAATTACTTAAATTTTACAAAGAATCCGCAAATTGGCAAAATATTTATTGAAATGAGTAGATTTATTAAAAAGATATATTCAGGGTAAAATTCTGGACGGTTAATGAAACAAATGATTGATTTTGATATACTTTCATATATACTTTAGACAAATAAATGGGAAAAAACAAAACATCCTCTGAAATCATCTATTGTTTCATTATACATGAATATAAGTTATAAAGGCTTGTATATGCATATTGGATTGGGTTTTTTTAATTGAATTAAATGTCAACTTTATTTCTCTTCTGATGTGCGAATCATATCAATCTGTGTATGCAAATAAAGAAAAGTACATAGTAGTACATAGTAGTTGAATTACCGATTGGCATATTTCAATGACTCTCAATGGCAAGATAACTTGACAAAACACCAATACGCGATGTGGTGTTTAAAAGTTTTTTTGTTGTCCGAGCTACTTTTCATATAGAATTGATATAAAACAGACTGGAGGTACAGTAACAAAATCAAATATTGCTAGATTCAGATAAGAATTTACTTGAAAATTTGTCATCGTTTTCTCGTTATCGTTATTATACAAGATATGATCTATATTGTCACATTTTTCAATCCTTATCTAGTTTTATTAACTCAAAGAGAATTGAATAATTTGTTTCAGCATAAGGATAATTATACATTGTGTCATGCATTGATGGAATATATATATACTAAATATATATACTGTAAACTAATGCCTAATTTAAAGCATGATATGTTTTATGTCTTTTCAAATAATGCAGGCTTTCTTATTTTTTTCTCTTCATATGAAGAAAGAATATAATAGCTGGTAATAAATAATATTCTTGTGAGTGTTCGTTCATTTGTTTATATTCATTTATCTACTTCTTGTGTGCATTTATTTGAATATTTTCAATTGATTTTTTGTTTTTGATTTATTTGTTGTGTTTGTTTCTTTGGGTTTTTTTTATATATAGTTTATTTATTTATCTATTATTTCATTTTTATCTGTGCTTGAATGTGCTCGGAATAAAATTTTAAGGGATTTGTACTACCCAATAAATTGAAAACAAACAAGGAAATTTGTCATTTTTTTAATAAAGAATTTATCTTAAAAAGTTTGTTTTTATTAAAAGAAATCTTGAATCATTTTTTCATATATCTTCATTATATATATATATATATATATATATATATATATATATATATATATATATATATATATATATATATATATATATATATATATATATATATATATATACGGAAGTTTTTTTTAGCTTTTCTGTCTAGACGGAGATCTCTTGAAGTAAACTGATCCCCTGTCAGTATTTCCTCATTATTCATTTTCACGTGTCTTCTTGAATTTACACGCACGTTTCATAAGTTGATTACTCTTATAACAGATATGCATGTCAATTGCATGCCCATGGCAACAACAGTGTTGATAATAAAAAAGAAATGTTAAACATTTGCGTCACGATAGTCTTAACATAGCTAAAGCCAGAGATGTCCAGGATCCACACTCAATCTACATAATGTTCAGTTATGAACTGTTTAATTGATTTTACGTCTTCTTGTCGTCTATCTGAATTGTTTGCGTATGACTTGTTATCTTTTGCTGCATTTGGCTAAAATGATGTTAAATTATCAAGACATGTCATTCATGAAATATGAAGATAATGAAGAGTAATAAAGCTTAAAAAGTCCATTGGAACAATACCAATTTGGAGCAGAGAAGACACGGACCTCCAAAAACATCAGAGTGGGATCAGGTGCCATGTGGGAGTAAGCATCCCCATTTAGTATAAATTATCAATTCTGCTTACGAAGTTCGGAGGATGCTGAGTGTGCACCAGTGTCCGTTTTCCATAATTTATATACGTTTTTTCTGTCTGCTGTCTTTCAGACTGTCTATCTGCATTTCATACTATCCTAATTTTTTTTCTGCTTGTTTGTCCGTAATATTTCTCCAAAAGCTGTGGACTGAGGACCAGGGCAATTTCTGTATAGATGTCCCTTTCGGAATTAAATTTTAAAATATGGCCAATACATAAATTTTATAAATACACGTACATAAAAGATGCTGAATTGGCATTGTAGTCAACGCTGAGAATGAATCCACCGATTTATGAAAAGTAAGACTTTAAAATTAGAAATGTCAGTAGTCAGGTAGATAAGATTAATAGGGTTAACAATATTTATGGTGATAATATAGGATTTTAAAGAGTTTGTCTTCTTGCCCATGAGAAAAATGTTTGAATTATTCTTACTTGTTATGGATCCCCTGCGTTTTGGGATTTGCTATTTGTCTGAAAGATAATTCCTTGTTAAAATATGGTTTAAGATACAGTTATCCATTAACAATGTGCTTTTCGTTTATATATGCTGGAATGGTATATCATTTACCTGGCATTACACTAAGTGTATTATATTGAGCGTTTACAATATTTAGCGAAAATAGATTTTACAAGCGTAAATTTGATTTGATTTATTCCTTTTTAACGTGCTAGATATAAACATATACATGTACATACAAAACTTTTACCGACGTACTTCATTTAGCGGAAGATGTCTTCAGCTAAAAGGCGCTAAATATTATACACCGCCAATTATAATTCGTTTCCGAAATTTTTTTGGAGGGGGGTTGGGGGGTTGGAGTCTTCTTCTCCATGTCTCCATGCAGGAGGTATAAATAGCTGAAAATGGCCTTGACCACCGATCCCTTTATAATGATATTTGTTAAACTCTTATAGATATCCCCAAATTCACCTCACAAAAATAATGACACGAATGCTTATCTACATGTGCGTTTATTGAACTCTGTTTATTGAAATATAAGGGGAGAGAAAAATAAAGCCATTGTTGTAAGGCACATGCAGGTCGTAAAGCAGAACGGATGCGGAATCTGTGGTTTGCGATGATGTAAAATTCATATATGTATTGTTTGTATAAAAATTCAGAATTACCATGTATATATGCTTTGTTTCTATAAAAATAAAGTATGTTAACATTTGCGTCTACGTAGTCTAAACAGAACTGGGCCAGACTTATGTATTTTTTCCAAAGCAAGTTAACTGATCGAAGATGATCTAAAAATAAACAAATGGACTCGGTATAAATGCTAACCTTGGGGGTATTTGAATTTCAGAGGTTGAATGGGTGGGCAAAAACGTCTTGTGTCAATTTATACAGTATATTTTTGAATCTCTTATTTCAATTCCCCAGTTGAAATAGTGGTTTGAATGTCATATTATCCACACAATCAAGGATGATTTCAATGAAGCTGACTGAATGAATCCCTATATGTATTTCATCATGTTTTGACCATTGGACAATATTTTTTAGATGTATTTATTAGATGTATTTTATATGTCCTTATTATACACATAATGAGAAACAACAGTTTGCTTTTGATTTAATTTAGATGAAAGAGATTGAACGAAACAAGTATCCGTTTGGTGAAATATAAAGATGAAACAGCACGTAAAAAGAGCGGAATGAGAAAAAGAGAAACAATGACCGGTACACATATCAACAGGCGACAGCTTTTCTTTTGTTTTAATTTAGATCAAAGAGATTGAATGAAACAGGTATCCGTTTGGTGATCAAAGAGATTGAATGAAATAGGTATCCGTCTGGTGACATGTAAAGGTGACAACTTTATTTCGTACAGTAAAACTCTATTATACAGATCTCGGTTATAAGGAAATCTCGATTATAAGTTTATGAATCCTCTAGGTGACTTTTTGCCGTGTTTCTTGTACGGTTATAAAGAATCTCGGATATAAGGTATTA